CCAGGTTGAAGGATGGCAGTGCAAGCACGACAGAAGTAGGGATAGGCCCAGAACGGTAGGCATAGCAAGCAGTAGTAGGGAGTTGCCAGTAGCAAGGACACAGGATAGGGTAAGGACTCAGTCCCGAAAATCCTCTGAACCATTCAGACCTCTCCCGTTCGGGAGATAGCCAGGTTCTTGAGAACCACCGAGCGCCGCCAAGCAGAGCCGCAAGGAACACGCGGCCCCCCTCGCTCGCTGGCTCGGGTGCTCACCCCCTCAAACCCCGTGTTGGAAACGAAGGCACGTAAAACGAATACCGGTTAGGAGGCGCTCGATAACGCGCAGCCTAGACGAAGGACCGCATGGCCTGATAACCGCTGTGCACAAGACCCCGCGTCGGCCCGATAACAAACCCCAGGAAACGCCGGCCCGATAACGCCGCACGCCCGACGGGATCTCCGAGGAAATGCCGGCTCGATAAGTCCGCAGGCCCAAGGAACTACCGACGCCCTAAGACAAGGACCAAGCGTCCACTTAACCCCCCCCCCACTCTGAAGCCTGCGAAGACTTGAGCTCGCAGCCGAAGATACGCTACTCAAGAACCGGGAAATTGCCCGTCGCGACTGAGATCAGGACGCGTCGGTTTTGTGCGAGGACGAACTTACGGAACTTTCTTATTTTCTGTGAGCGCGCTACTCCACAAACCTGCCTCGTGCGGCACCGGAGTCGTACCGGTCTCAAGAAAATGTACCAGTTAGATGTCAAGAGGGGTCATTGTTTGACTTGACGTACCATAGCGCCAAATAGCGTACCCTTCTCGAATTGAATACCTCCTCTCAAATCTGATAGGATTTGATCAGTATACAAACCTATTGTACCTACGCCAATTTGTATACCTCAACAGCCATACAGAGCGTCGAGTACTAATTTTCTTGAAACAGCAAAGTTTGGGTTAATGTTAATATCTTCTGATTGGCTAAGAGACGCCTTAAAATTGAAAATCACGCGTCAAATGCTCACACTCCTTTATTTTAATACTTACACTCCTTTTAGTTTTTAACTTTTTTAAAAAAATGAACGGAGTGTAAGTATTTAATTTGTCGGATACGGCAAACAAGATCCTGTCGTTTTTATCTTAGAAATGGCAATTGTCTGGGTGCCGTTTGTAGTTTTGGAGCTTCATGCAAAATTACGGTGAGGTACCTAATGAAAAATGGTTTTGGTCAAGTTCTGAATGCTGGGTTAACACTGTCCATGAAAGACGTTGTGGGCCAACTCTGGCGCAACCTATGGGTGTCTCCATGGTTTGAAGACTGGCATATAAGTTGGCAGGACGTCATCAAAGTAGTTTTGCGGTACGTAGGCTGCTCGCAACAATTATCCAGAACTTGTATGCATCGAATCTACGTTGGTAGTAATATACCCTCTCCTATTTGTATACCTTTCTAAAATTGATGTGTTCAATTCAATAGTATGCGGTATACAAATTAGCTTTTCCGTTAATCCGATTTGGTCTGCGATAGCAGCACTAATGTTGCTTCCTACTCAGTATCCCAGTACTAGTATAGCAGCATCCTCACGGCGAATTTTCGCCCCGGTTGCTAGAGGGGCATTGCTTCGGAAAATGTTGTATCTTAGCTTCTCAGCACCGCCCCCAAGTATCCTATACACACTCATACTTTTACCAAATTGGTTTCAAAAATATATGCACGAAGTGCCGGGTTTGCATCAGATTTTATTAAAATGACCGGGCTTGGAGTTTAATATGGAAAACGGTATAGGCAGCACGGGGACCGATGCCACGAGCAAGCGCAGCGAGCACTGGTAGACAGCGCGCGTGTTCCTGACGTTGCACACATGCTGATCAACTAGAACTTGCATGTCCTAGTCATCCGCCGCCGCCATAAATGAAGACAGGAAAGAGGCTTGACGTAACAGCAAGGGATCTCGTGCCGCATCTGGTAGTGCCGTCGTACCTCTTTCAACCGTAAATCAACGTATAGTCTTTTGCTTAGTCCTGGTTTCCATGCTACAGTAGTAAATAAACACTTTCCGAATCATTATAAGTGGCTTTGGCGTTGCCACCGTTGGCCGCTGAATCGATTGCAACAAATTTCCGGGTGGACATCGCTAAATATCCCCCACAGTACCAGGCTAAATCGTGCTCGAGCATTCAGCAAGCCAATATATCAGTAAAATTGTAACTCATGGCGAAAAATTCAGTCACATTACATTCAGCAACCACCGGTATGCACATTTGCTCTCACATTACATTAATTTTTAAATTAATGAGCTTTAAAAAGCTCATTGAAACAGTGAGACCAGCAGTGTGCCCCCAACACGTAAGTGCTTTTCACAATAACACGAACTCACTGTAAGTGATTTAAAAGAGCTTCAAGATGAACGACTACACGTCTCACTCTGAGGTTAGGATAATCGACCAAATCACGGTATAAGTATTACTGGCCCTACTGGAGGTCCGGTATAAATATCTGTTATACAATACTTTCGTATAGAAAACAAGTATCAGTATTAATACAGATTGTATTAATACTTTGGGTAATACTTTATACTAGTACAAATTTATGTGGCCCACATTAGCTCGGCTTCGCCAGTGGCGAGTCTATGTTGTGAATTATATCCGTGCGAATCGCTCAGAAGGACTGAGCCCAAGGAATAGTTTAACGTCTGAAGCGTTCCTATCACTTGACGATCCGAATGGCGTTGAAGACCTTCATAGTATTCATATGACGGTCCTTATTTTGCAGAGGTGCTACCTAAGTTTGACGTGGCCTCGGGCCTTGTGCGCGACACGTCGTGTATGCGATCGGGTTGAATGAGGAAAGTGTAGGCGCCGCAGAGGCCAGAAGCCAAAGGCCAAAGAAACTTCTATCTAAATGCAAAGGGGCAGTTTTGATTATGACAGTTTAGTAGTCGGTTGCGAACATAAAGTCTGTTTTGGTGCGAAGTCTGAGTAACCAAAGTCTGATTTAGAGCTATGGTGAAGTCTGGAAAAGCTGACTAAAACGGACGGCATGCTGCGTGCAAAGCACAATAATACTTATCTATATAATACAGCGGTGATACCAATTGTTCTCTGAAATTTATTTCAGAGTTAAGGAGCGATTGGAATTCGTCGTCTAATTAATCCTTCGTATATGTTCATCTTCATTCAGGAGTAAGAGCCTCCTCGAACCTCAACTATACATTTGGGGTCTCAAAGACCATATTACGTCTAAGAATAAGACCGAACCTCAGGAGATGCTTCGAGGTATTTAAGGGGGTTAATGTAGCGTATCGATAGAATTGTGTGTAAGGGTAGCAATATTAGCATCAGCTTCTGTAAATGCGCACATTCCCAGCCCGGTAGCCTCGACTGCAGCCTCAACCGCGAGCGAACGAATGTACTGTGCCATAATAAGGTAAGCTTTACTAAGAAAACAAATAAGACTTGCGACTGATCCTAATAAAATTAATCAACATTTTCACGGAGCACCATTAATCTTGCGGTGCGTGTGCTGGGGTTGCACACCCAGACCCCATGCACTCTCCATTTGAGGTAAAACGGGACTGTGAAATGCTTGGACCAGTTCTTATTCGAACGCTGCTAATGTAGTTAGGGTCAATAGTTAGAAGCGCCGTTTAAACGGTATCGAAAGGCTTTTTCATGTTGCCACGCACGCAACAGTGAGCTCTCATACCGTTCATCTAATTTCAAGTAAATAAAAAACAATCTAGAAGTCAAATCATACCGGGGCAAGTGCACGTTCACAGAAGGCCTTGGCGGTCGTGGAAACATATTAGTGGGCGCGCGCATGTTCTAAATGCACCACGTGCGCTTCATCAACCATGTATGCGGATTGATACGGGGTTACCCGATGTTCTTTTACCAAACGGTATCCCTAAAGCTGTCCCCTTGGTTCAATTGATCGTAGGAAATGCCGGTAGCGACCTCTACGCTACTTTTGGCCACGTCATTTCATTTATCGGTGCTTCTAAAAGCCTCTAAAGAAACACAAAGTACTTATGTATTTCCGAATCGCAAATCGCGTTGAAGTGTCGGTAATAGCTCAGTTTGAATAATTAGCCAAGTAGAGCCCAATATTGTTAGTGGCCCACGATGCATGTTACTTCAGGTGCTTTAACATAAACGCAGATGTATAAAGCCTTTTATGCCCGTATAATTTGCACATTGTATCACTTCACTACAATTGTCCAGAGTCTGTGAGCGACGCTGTGTGATGCAATTTTACTGCTATAGACACTGGGATGGTATATATACCTCGAGTCACTCCTTATTAGACCGAGCATGGAGACGACACTATCGCTCTCGTATTAACCAGCTGGAGTATTTAGCTGGCCTCGTACATGTGTATAGCTCGTTAAAGGTGTTGATTGGTCACTTAGGCTAACCCTGGTCGATATATATATGAATCGACCAGAATGCCCAGTTGTCCGTAGGCGTTCTGAAGGATTTACATATATATCAACCAGGATTTGGTGATGCTAAATCCCTTGAGAGCGTGAAAAACCGAGCGGGCAAAACGCTTGGCGGCCACAATATATATAAAGATTACTAATGTACACTTATACCCTCCACGAATAGTAGCTAATTTGGAGTCAAGTTGGCCCGGATAACCGTAAAATATTACTGGTATTACCAATTCTGAGGAGTAGTATTACTTCAATTATCCTTATATATTCGCCCAAAAAACGAGTATAAGTATTAATACAATCTGTATTAATACTGAAATTGTATTACTCAATAATACAATACTTTGAATTATCCTAATGAGACTCTCACTCCACATACATGTTCGCCAGATTCACTATACAGTAACAAACATTTAACAAACGCTAGTGTTAGCTATACATTTGGCGTTTGTGTGAACATGCAAGACCGTCAGAATTGCATATTGCTACTTTAACTTGCTCAGCGAGGACCCCCAGGCATTCCCAGTGTTCATGTTTAATCCACGCAGGTACTCAAGCAATGACATCGAACGCTTCAAGGGAATATGCACGCGAAGAGAACCCGGTACGCGCAGCACCAGCTGCGCGAGGGCTCCGATGATGAATGGAAAATCATTCAAGGTCTAGCAGAAGGCAGCATTGTCAGCAGGCGTCTGCCGGATTTCATCAGAAGTATTCTAGACTCTCAAGAGCGGCTGCGTCTGTACAGCACGATTCAAGCGCAGGTTGAAGGGGAGCTCATGTTTGTTTTGAACGGCTATACGGGCGTTCGCGTAAGCCGCCAGCACACACGTGCGTTCCAAGAAGACATTCTGCTCGCAGCCGAGCGGGCTAATGTGAATTTGACGGAGCTGCATGGGTTGCTAAGTCAAACCAAAACGATAAGCTTCAACAGGGTCAAGAAGTCAATCCATTTCTTCTTTTTTGATCGCGCGACAGCTGCGAGGCATGCACTGACACCAGTGCCGTTCAAAGGAAGAGTGTACCGCTTGATGAACGTACACGGGCCCGACCGCGGAACCCCGTGGGAGCGCCAGTTAGGACGCGCTGGTGTTAGTATGAGCCCGCCAACGGAATACGAAGTCCGTCTATACAACATCACGCGCTTCATGGACATCGGACGACTGACAGCCTTTTTTAAAAAGCACAGTCAGGCCGAATTCGACTTCGAGGATCTTGATGCCTGCACGCCGAACTCTCGCACTTCTACAGTGTGGAAATTAACATTCAAATTAGCAGGATGCCCAGAATTCCTGCGGGGAATCCAACGAATCATTTGGTTCGGGGCAAGCATTGTGATCAAGCACCCGGCTGTAGGTCGTCGCCTGCAGTGTCTACGTTGCGGGCAGCTAGGACACACTCTCGCGCGGTGCAACTACACGGACGACCAATTAAGTGGGCAAGGAGACTGGTGGCTTGTGAAGAGGAGGTGATCAATCTCGTGGACCTAGCCAAACCGTACGGCAGCATGAAGGAAATGAAGGAGGCAGCAGCAAAACGTTTGCGCCTGCACCAGCAAGCGGAACGAGTAGAGGAAGAAGCCGTGAGTCCGACGGCGAATGGCCACGAAGTGGAGCTCGGAAGACCGCAGCGAGATCTCGAACCGGCGGCCGATCAGGCAGGAGAGCCGAAAGGAGATCACCACCGAGAAGAAGCCAGCCAGCAACAGCAGGCACCTACGCCCAAGCCTCAACCCAAATGGGTAACAGTCAAGCTGAAAGGAGGACGGACCTTGTTCGCCCACAAGGCAGCCCTGGACCAGAAAATAAGGCCAGCGCACTCGCGATATGACGTCCTAGCTGAGGACGAAGATGAGGAAGACGACGAGGAGGATAGGAACGCTGGAATCGAGCCACCGGCAGATCAACACCAGGAAATCATCGATATCTCATCGGGATCGTCGCAAGAAACCCCAAAAGAGCGTCTCTATAAGGATCTTACCAAAGATGAAAAGAGCCTGTTGCACATAGTGAGACGCACGCCGCCGGCGGGCCGACAGCCCCGCAACTAGTGGCTTTAAAACAGCGTGAACGCCAGGAGCTACTAACTGTGGTGGAACCGCTGCTACCAAAGCAACTCCTCAACATTCCATGGGATGCGGTGGTCCCCACCACGATTGACAACGTTGAAGTGGTCGAACGGCTACTGCATATACGTGAGGTGACGACACCATCGACGGGCAATTGCATGGCGATCGCTATCGTGCAAGCAGTAGCCAACCACGATCTCGCCGCTCATGACGACGTTCTGACTAAGGCAACCACCTCAATCAAGCGAGGCATCAAACACGCAGGACAGCTTCATATGAGTGACCAGTTCGATCACTACGCAAGGACATTGACATTAGTGAATGTGCAGCGAGGGTGGGAAAACATGCCGCCAGGTGATTCCAAGAAGCAGTTTAAGTGGTACTTGGAGGAGTACGCTGGAAGTGCTTCTGACAGAGACACCATGGTTGAAGGGTTCAACTGGGGTGGCAGTGACCTGATGGCGATGGCAGTAAACTTTCTCAAACGATCAATCTATGTATTCGCGCACAACACGCAAGGTGACCAAGCGTGGAACTGCGTGATGTATAGACCAAGCTCGCGGACGCGATTCAAAAAGGTCTTCGAAACCGGTCAACAGGTTATGCTGACAGTCCAGGATTGCGTCCAACGTATTCGGGAGGACAAGCTGAAAGCACACGCAGCACCACTAGTCCTACGATTTTGGGGGCGTCACTACTCGGCGTTCGTGCACGTACAGCCACAAGGCACAGATGTAGGGAAGCGGGAGGGGACGAAGACGGAAGATTTTGAAATGGAGGATACAGAGAGGATTCCCGGTCGCGAGGACGGGTTATCGCGATCGCAAGCCGAAGCCACAGCGGAGCCATGGAATCCGGACGAATGGGATGGCTCGCTAGATGAACTGCACCACCGGCTGCAAGGCATGACGATACCACACGAGCTCAAGTGTGAAATCCAACATATTTTACGGGTAGCAGAGGCAGATCGATACCATGAACTCTTGGGATTCCTAGTCAATACCGTCTCGAAACTATCAGTACAAGAGCAAAACCGTCTCCGGAGCGCCGCCCTGGAGGACGAAGCGAGCCCAACCGTTCGGGAATTCCTTCAGCGGCACCAAGTGCCTTTAGTAGTGTTGAAGCAATGGCAAACCCATGTGCGGGAGAACAAGGAAGGAGCGCTGGACCGAGAACGAGATCCGATACAGGACCACAGTGAGGAATCAACAGGTAGCGCCACGGATCCTCGTGACGAGGCCTACGTCCCATCCGGTGATAGGGTCAGCAGCAAACCAAGCCGGCGGAAACCGTACAGGCAGCAGCAGAAGAAGCTGAGGCACAGATCCAAGAAGACAATGCAAAAGAGGGATCACCGTTCTGCTCTCGCTGTGACAAACAAATTCGGCGCATTGTACAGTGCCAAACCTACCGCAGTCGGGCGGAAAAAAAGGAAAGCGTGAAGTGACAGAACCCGTTCAATTGTCAGCGCCAGTCGTCGCGAGACCGGACTGGGAACACCACTGGAAATTCTTGGCTCCGGAGTGGGCGGAAGGAGCACAGACGCCGTTCCCGTTGGCCACGAGCAACAACGATAAGTGGCAGCGAGCAGCCGAAGTGGAACCACGACGACTGATCCGACTTGTTGAACGGTTCCCGTTTGCAACCGACGTGCTGCAAGCTGTGAGTGATGATGTTCTAATAGCATGGACTGCGGCCTGGCGGAAAGATTGTATGTTAGCGGGTTTAATTCAGTATCGTGGTCGGACTACCGACAAGTCGATCCACACATGGCTTGATGATTGGACTAAGCGGCTAGCGGAACCACCTACAAAGGAAAAGCGTGCCCCGCCGTTTGACAACTGCGATGACTGGAAGCGAATGCGTTCGCGAGCGTCTCGCTACTCCAGCAATGCGATTTCGGCAATACACTCAAGCTCGCTCAACATATCTTGTGCGCCATTATCTACGATCCCGAAATTCGCGCGATCACTGGTACGGAAGATGACGTGGAGAACGGCGTACCAACTCAAGTACGGCGTCACCTTACGGCCCTGGACAAGATCGAGAGTTACAAAGCTGCGTATTATGCGGCAGACCGGCAAATCAACTGGGCAGCTGTGGAGAGCTACTTCACCTCGACATTCGAGAGGGAGGAGCTGCAGCTAGCTCTCCAGAATTAAGTTCTCCTTCAGCGCAGTCACAGAGGGTTTGGTGCCCATGGACACTGTACCCTCGGATGCCTTCGGACGGCACTTCCGCCTACAGGAGGCATTTGGTGACAGCAAACGGAAGGGTAAGGCGGCTCTGAAGCCCATCTCACGCAGAATAGCAACGCAAAATCTGCGGGGGTTCACGGCAACAGAGAGAAAACATTGGATGGAGGCGTGGCGAAAAGAGTTGCAGCGGGAGCGCCCGCTACTTAGATTTTTACAAGAAACGCATGTGGAAACGGAGGAAGAAGCAGACAATTTAGAGGAAGACTGGCGTAGGCTGTGGGGGAAGCAGCACTGGTCTGGTAAGCAGCTTACATATTGGAGTACCGCCAATCAAGGTAAAACGGACGGGTCCATCATTGGCCAACAAAGCAGAAGCATGGCATCCTGAAGTGTGGTCGAGCAGGGCGATGGCGGTGAAACTAGGTGACCTCCTGTTGGTAAACATCTACGCGCCGAATCAGTCTACGGACAGGGAGGAATTCTTCAGGTCGATCCGGAATTGGCCGTGGGCTGGGGAGGAAATCATCCTGGGTGGAGACTTCAACAGCGTTCAGAGCCCACATTTGGACAGGCTGGGAAACTGATCAGCCGGACGGCCGGAAAGTAAGCAGCTACAAGAATTGGTGCGCCAGCTCGAAGTAGAGGATGCAGCGATCTTGTCAGCGACTGGGGAAGAAATGGCAAACCCCAGTCCGACAGATTGGTTCACCTTTTGGAATAAGCGCTCGGCAAGCAGAATTGACAGGTTCTACGTGCCAAGATCTTGGACTGCAGTCGTACAATGGGTCTCGGTGGAAGTTCCGCCGGTGAAAACAGATCATCAAACTGTGAAAGTACATCTCACAATCCCTGTGTTAGGAATCCCACGGCGCAGTGCACGAAAGGTAACATACCCCATTCGAACAGCTCAGCCCCAGCGCGTGATCAGTGAACTGCTGGAGGAGCTTATTGAGCGCGAGGTCGGCAGAGGCATCACAGCATCAACTTGGAATCAGACAACCAGGGCCTGTGTGGAATGTATCAAACGCATCCAGAAGCGGGTGAAACAACGCAGGACTCGGTATGTCAAGAAGCTTCAGAGCCAAGCGCGCGCACAAATCTTTACCATAGAGGACGCAACAGCAAACGTAGCAGAGGAGCATCATGAGGCAGCCTTAATGAGAGAAGGACAGCGGCTCGAACGAACGACGGAACACCTCCGGTGGCAATTCAGGCGCATCTCGGATTGGGAACAAGATCAGACGGTGTCGAGCATTCGTCCGATCAACGGAGCGAGCTTCTCCCGGAACATGTCCACAGCGGACAAATTTGCGTCCGAGTGGGCGCCGATCCTGGGGCAAAGTCACAGCTCAGTACCACCGTCGGACTTACAGCACGAGTTTGATGACTTTGTGCAGATACCGGTTCAAAGGCAGCTCACGGAGAACGACAATCGGATGTTGATGGAGCCGATCACATTGAACTAAGTTATTCAGGCGATATCGGCACTAAATCGACACAAAGCGGCAGGGGCAGATGGATTGAACAACGACCTCATTAAGGACGCGCAGGCTCAGTTGGCGCCTGCGTTGGTGACGCTCGGTAATGAACTGCTGAAAGGTGGTAAGCCCCCTATGTCGTTTCTAGAAGGACTCATCATACCACTCAGAAAGAAAGGGGACTCGGATAATGCCATGGATTACCGCCCTATCTCGCTTCTACAAACAGGATACAAGTATTCACCAAGGTTTTGGCGACAAGGGTACAGCGGATTCTAGGCAAAGTTATTGGAACGACACCGCAAGGCTTCGTGCACCGCAGACAAATGATGAAAACAGTGATGATGATGTTGGCGGTCCTGGCATCGGCGAGAGGGGAACCTGAATTAGCGGCAGAGCTAAGCAGGGTGATTGTGTTGCTGGATTTTAAGAAAGCGTACGACACAATGGCCAGGGAATTTCTCTTCCTATCGCTATTACGCTTTGGTTTTTCGAAAGAATTCGTAGATATGTTACGACGACTGCATGATGGGACTACAGCTCGCATTTTGGTAAATGGGGAACTCTAGCAGCCGACAGAGGTGCTATCAGGCATTCGCCAAGACTGTCCACTGGCGCCTTTGCTCTTCTTGATCGCGGCAGAGGTGTTGGCGCTATCTATCTCACAGGACTCACAGTTGCAGGGGATTAACGTACCGGGCAAACCGGATGCTGAGCACCGCTTCTCGGCCTTTGTGGACGACTCGACGGTGTTCCTTCAAGAAGCCAAGCAGCTCCCGGGGTGATGGATATAATTCGGCGCTTTGGAGCACTGTCAGGCCTAATTGTCCAGCCCACCAAAAGCAAGTTATTTTTTCTGAATACGGCGGTGGAGATGAATGAGCTATATGGAATACCGGTACTCGGGCATGGAGAAACTACTCGTTACTTAGGTTACGAAGTAGGAACTCAGGAGCTATCGGGTCACAACTGGGCCCACCGGATCCGCAATATCAAACGAAGATTAGCAACGGCGGCGCAGATGGCTACGAGTAACCATCCTCAATGTGATCATGCTAACAGCAATATTGTTCACGGCCGCAGCGTTCGATATACCACCGTGGGCAGGCAAGGAACTTCGACACCTGCAGAAGCAATTCCTGTGGCGCCATTCGATAGCAACGGAAGCAAGCAGGCATAAGGTCAATCCTGGACTTCTGTACACTCCACGAGGCGCCGGAGGCGTGGGCTCGTATCGATTGAGGTGGCCGTAAAATCTCAAAAAATGAAACATGCGATGCTCTGGCAAATGCAGCAAGAGGATACGTATTCCGCAGCATGGCGAGCATGGACATTCAGGGGTGGGGAGGCCGACAGTGATAGTACAATAACCCCTACGGAAACCGGGCGACGACAGCCGAAGACACCTTGCAAAAGGATGCAAGAGCTGCTAGGCGGGTGGCTTCAACCCACACAGGGAGAGAAGGAGACGTTACTAAGGCAAGGTACACGGGACCTGGCCCGGTTAGCCGACCAGGCCATTTGTTGGAGGGACGATAATACACTGCAGATCAGGCTTTACGAGGAACTTCCTCGTTGGCAACGGGAGTGGTCGACTGAAGCTAAGACATTCTGGCCCACATACCTGTGGAGCAGTAACCCATGGATTCGAGAAGCAAACGGGGGCATGCTGACAGCCAAGATATATAACCGGATCCGTGTTTGCACGCTACCGGAGTTGCACATTCAGCGAATAGGACTGGCGGCGTATACGCTCCGGATTCCATTGACGTCGGACGCAACAACGCATCATACGGCTCCGAAATTGTGTCGGTGGGCATTGGCTATTATAGCAGGGTCCCCACCGATAGATATCGCAGAGGAACTGCAGGTGCGGCCAACGGTGGAGCTTCGGCAACCACCCAATCTGCACTATCATTACCATTGGAAAGTCCTAGACACTAAACTCGTCCAAGGGGTCCCAGAAGGAACCGACGGCACCGACGGAGGATATTTTATCCTAAAACCAGAACCGAACGGCGTTCACTGGGCTATCCAACAAGCGTAAACCCCAACACCCAAGATGGCCGACGGCAACGAAGCAACTCAATCTCTTCTTCGACGGCCGTCAAATGGATGCAAGTTGTCGCAAGCTTCAAAGCTGTCAGCACCGAAAGGAGACACTCACGCACCTACTTTGGGAGTGTCCGTGCGCCCAAGCATGCTGGAAATATCTTATCAGCTGCTGGGGTAGACGAACGTGTGATGGCCAGCAGCTTCTTCGGTATACGGCGAATTGCGCGTCTCGAGTATCACCACCGTTTACAACAGACCTGCGTCGTCGATTTAGCACCGCGTTTCCCGATCAGACCGACGACTACGCGCGTGAATGGAAACGGATATGGTGGGTTATGAGCACAGTATGCATGACAGTCCTATGAACCCAACGAAACCAAGTGGTTCACAATGGAGGCCAGGTTACCATTGCAAGCAGCGTCGCAGCATTCCAACAGGCTGGACTCCGGCACCTACGAGCACTAGCACGTAGGGAACGCGGAAATCCAAGGACAATAGTTCAAGGCACAGGATTACTTATCTGTTTGGATCTCTTCCAGCGGACACCAAAAGAGGAACCTCGACCAGAGGCGAGCCACGTACAGCCACCGGGATCATCTCAGGTACCGGCGCTGATCACCTGGCTTAGGACATTCCAGACACTCTCATAACATAAGTTGAATAGACTAGTCTGAACCTCCTCCTACTTTAACTCGCTCAGGAAATAGCATGCGATTTTGGAGGGCAACGACGTCTTACTTCCTGCGCAAATGACAATACTTCATCTATTTATCAAGGTTGTCAGAATAATATACCAAATGTCAGGGCAAAAAGAGAATTCTCCACGTTTTCTTCACAGCTACAGAGCATACATCCTGACTATTGTCTCGACTATATGGCACGTCTGGCCTGGTCACCGCTTTCTGTATCATGCCAATCTTCGTAATCGGTTGCGCCGGCTGCTGCAGAACTGTGTGTAGCAAGCGATTTATAGATTTCTTCAGTCAACGATTGCAGCAACTAATATGCCAACTAATTCTAGTGCTGCCTTCTTGCTTCCGCATGAGTGGTTCGTAATAGTTAGCGGTAGCATAGTATAGCCTTTGGATTTAGACTTCACTGCTCCATGCCAAGTTTTGCCAAGGATCTATCAGTGTACTGACCGATACCTTGAATTAGGTTATCTATGAATAACTTAATCCAAACGACTCTTTCGTACATTGTTTCGTACGTTAGCGGAGACTTTTTACGGAGCTGCCTGACCTCTCATATGTTTTTTACGGCGGGCTCCACTGTCATTTGCCTCCGTTACCACATTTAACCGGAGTTCAGCCACCCCTTGAAAAGGGTTCCACGGTCCAAGTGCATAAATCGTCGGTCGTCAACTCTTACCTTAAACTTCAACGATTAACGCAATCATTTGTTTGCTGTACAAACGGGGCGATCTCCGGTTCGATAAAAAGTTGACCTCAGTTTAATAACTTGTTATACCTTCGAACAAGGTAACATTTGAAGGGTCGCGTTTGGCGCCGTTCAACAAGAGTTCGTGTGTTCTTAAAAAGTGGTAAAATTCGATCGAAATCGCCCCCGGGCAGGCTATGATAGTTCATTTGCCCTACCCCATTCTCCATTGTAATACAGGGGTTCATAAATTGGAGTAAAAAGTACCTGTAAAAAGGGTAAAAAGTCTTTATGCACATTTCATTATAAGGGGGCTATGCCCCCATTATTCCTTTCATGACCCATGCTAGGGAAAGCTAGCACAGTCTTCGTGAGTCAGCCTAGGTGACTTACTACATCTTTGTGCGTCCAAGTTCGTACCAACCTGCATCAAACCCGAGGTCACAAATAAATGAGAAGAAAACTACCCACTAGCCGAGTTAAAAAATCTCGTTATGTCCATCGATGTGAGATCGCCACTCCCTTTTTCTCTATCCACACCCTCGGCCACCCATTATTTGTTTGGGGGCCCAAAGAGGCCGCCGTCCCCATCCCAGTCCGAGTCCGAGTCCGAGTCCGACTCGGATTCGGCGACGCGCATTCGTGCAGCAGCGCTCGGGATCTGGGGGTGAACAGCCGGTCCAGCAGTGCCTGCTGGAGGTTCGAAGAGTGAGCCCGACTGTGCGGCAGGTTGAGATGGGGCTGGCGCCGGGGTGCTGGTTGTTGCGGGCATTGGGGCTGCGACGGGTTTTGTAGTAGCAGGTTTCGATGTAGCTGCGCCAAAGAGGCCGCCATCGTCGTCGCTCCAGTCGTCACTGTCATCATCCGACGATATTTGGCGGGTAATCAGAGGTCGAGTCGGTGGCACCGTAGTAGCCACCGCAGGAGTTGGTGCGGGGATGGGGGGTGGCGACGCAGTTGGTACAATTGTCGCTGGTGTTGGTGCGGTTCGCACGGGAGGGCCTCCGAACAACCCTCCATCGTCCGAGTCGCTAGAAGCACTGAGCACTTGAAACTGTCGAACTTGAGGTGAAGGTGATGCAGGTGCAGCAACAGGCGCAGCCGTAACAGGCTTAGCTGATTGTGGAATGCCGAATAAGCCGCCGTCGTCGTCATCACTATCACTGTCACTGACGTTGTGCGTAACCACTGGTGGTGGTCTAGCGGCAGTTACAGGAGGTGGTTTTGCAGCAGCAGTGGGCTTGCTCGCACCAAACAGACCACCACCGTCACTGTCATCACTATCATCGCTGTCACCTTCACCAAAGAGTCCGCTTTGTGGAGGACGTTGAACTGGCTGCGGCCGAGGAGCTGATACAGGAACTGGTGTCGCTGCGACAGGAGCAGCTTTCGATTTTGCGCCAAACAAGCCGCCGTCGCCATTGTCCTCATCGCTGCTGCTGTCAGAATATGTCGAACGTCGAGGTGGCAGGATGGCAGCGGTAGGAGGCACCACAACAGGCTTCGCAGCGGGTGCAGAAGGCTTTGCAGGTGCGGCCCCAAAGAGTCCGCCGTCATCGTCATCATCGCTGCTATCGTCGGAGAAATCAAGACGTCTGGTCTGCTGAGGAGGCGGCAGGACCGAAACGCCGGCAGGAGACTTCTTCGTGTCTTTGGGGGCGCTGGACGGCCGACCAAATAGGCCACTAGTCGTCGTCGACTCAGCTTCACTGTCGCTGTCGCTGTCGTCATCGTCGTCGTCGTCAAACACCTGGCCACGACGAGAACTGCGCGTAGAAGACGCTCTAGGAAGACGAGGGGCTGATTCCGGAGCCGACGGGTGGCCAAACAGTCCGCTTGTGTCACTCTCATCCGAGTCCGCGCGGCGTCGCGGCGGCTCAACCGCCGGCGGACGACCAAACAGCCCGCTGGTGTCGCTCTCGTCCGAGTCCGCGCGTCTTCGCGGCGGTGGAGCCGCCACCGATGACTCATCCGACTCCTCCGAGCTCAACCGGTAGCGCGATCGAGAAGGAGACTTCTTCGTGTCTTTGGGGGCGCTGGACGGCCGACCAAATAGGCCACTAGTTGTCGTCAATTCAGCTTCACTGTCGCTGTCGCTATCGCTGTCGTCGTCGTCGTCGTCGTCGTCGTCAAACACCTGGCCACGACGAGAACTGCGCGTAGAAGACGCTCTAGGAAGACGAGGGGCTGATTCCGGAGCCGACGGGTGGCCAAACAGTCCGCTCGTGTCACTCTCATCCGAGTCCGCGCGGCGTCGCGGCGGCTCAACCGCCGGCGGACGACCAAACAGCCCGCTGGTGTCGCTCTCGTCCGAGTCCGCGCGTCTTCGCGGCGGTGGAGCCGCCACCGATGACTCATCCGACTCCTCCGAACTCGACCGGTAGCGCGATCGAGAACGCGACGAGTGTCTCTTCTCTCTCGGCGCCGGGGAGGCGTCTGACGCCGAGTCCGAGTCCGAGGCGGAGTCTGAGCTGCTGTACGACGAGCCGTAGCTCGAGTCGCTGTCGCTGTCGGAGTAATCCTCCGGCGCCGCACCCAATCCGAGCGTCTCGTCCTCCAAGAACTCCCTCGTGCCGATGATGAAGGGCAGCGGGCGCTCGTTGTAGATGTCCAGCACCGTGTCGAACTGGGACGGCGTCTCGCTCTTGTCGTCGTCCTCGTCGTCCATCATCACGAACAGCTTCATGGCCTCCATGCCCGTGTCCAGCGCCGATCTGTACTTGTTCACGATAGACTCGGCCGCCGCCTTGGCCACTCCCTCCTTGCTCTCTGCAGCAGCTGAAGCCGCGCTGGCGGTGGCGTCCGCTTGCTCCTTGTCCTTCTCTTTCTCCTTGTCCTTGTCCTCCGCCTTCTCCGCGCCAGCCTGGCCGCTCTCGACGCCGAAGAAATCCTCCTGCTCCTCGTCGTACACGCGGTTCTCGATGAACTGGTTGTTGGAGAGCATGAGGAACTGGTTGAACGTGTTCTTGAGTCGGACGTGGGCCGCGTCCGCCTCCGCCGCGATGTCGCGCACGCTGTCCTCCAGGTCCTTCGTGCGCGCGAACAGGTCGGTCGAGTACTGCTTCAGGAACGCGTGCAGCTCGTGGTCCGAGTGCAGCGTCCAGTTGGACACCTGGCGCGCCAGACCCGCCAGCGTCTTGGCCTCTTTCGCGGTCTCGGGGGCGTCCGCTTCATCCTCTGGGGGCGGCGCCGGCTGCGCGTCTTCCTCCGGCGGGGGCGGCGGGGGAGGGGCCAGCGCCAGCGCCAGCATCTCCGCCATCTTCCTGATTACTCCGGCTCGAGGTTGTGAGATTGAAGAGGGGGGCAGGTGAATGTGTATGACACATAAATTGAGAAAAGTCATTAAATCGGAGTGAGAGAGGCACTAAAGCGCAAGTTGAAGTGGCAGTTGAGCTTTTCCGACCTGAAGCAATACGATGGAGCCGCGGCGTCCGAAGCACAAGCAGGCGCCGCCGCTCGAGGTCTCGCAGAAGGAGCTCGAGCGCGCGCTGAAGGATCCGAGGTCGTACGTGTCCTCGGACTCGGATGCAGAGCGCGCGGCGTTCCCCAACGGGCGGGAGAACGTCGACCGGTTGCGCGTGGTGCACACGCACATGTCCATGGTGTTCCTGCTGCCGCAGCGCGTGTACAAGGTGAAGAAGCAGGTGGACTTCGGCTTCGCGGACTTCTCGACGCTGTTCAAGCGCTTCCAGGCGTGCTTCGCCGAAGTGCAGCTGAACCAGCGACTCGCGCCCGACGTGTACATGGGCGTCGTGCCCGTGTCCATGAAGAGGGCGACGAGGGAGATCTGCGTGCGCTGCGACGACTTTTGGACGCCGGAGAAGAGCGGTAACCTGGACTGGTGGCTGAACGACCAGTTCGGAGAGATCGTCGAGTGGGCGGTGCACATGGTGCGGCTGCCGGACGACTGCACGCTGCTGCACCGCATGGACCACGGCGAGTTGACGGAGAAGATGTTGGACCAAGTGGCCGAGAGGCTCGTGGACTTTCACGCGGACGCTAGGCGTGGGCCAAAGATTGATCATTTCGGTCGAGAGCCAGTGATTCGACACAACATTGACGAGAACTTTCACCAAACGGCCTCGCACACGGGTATGACGGTCAGTGAGCAGGTGTATCGTCGCGTGAAGGAGCTGTCGTACACGTGGCTGAAGAAGCTCAAGCACGTTTTCGAGTCACGTGTGGAGAACGGCTATATTTGTGATACGCACGGAGATCTGCGACTTGAGCACGTCTATAGACTGCCGCGTTCGGCTGGCAAAAGCGAGCGCTTCGTGATTTTGGACTGCATCGAGTTCAATGAACAATTCCGCTTCGGAGATCCGCTCTCGGATGTAGCGTTCTTGGCGATGGATATTTGGTGGAAGGGCCGTCCCGACTTGGCACGCTTTCTACAGGCGCAATACCTGCTCAAGACAGTGCAAGACTCGCCGGAGAATGCTGATCTCTTCACGTTTTATACTGCATATCGGGCTGTAGTGCGGGCTAAAGTATCCGGGTTTCGTGTGATGGACCCTACACTGTCAGCCGTTCAGCGTGTCGATGAAATTCAGCGCGCGCATTGCTACTGGCTGGTGGCACTGGAGCTCCTTAGTCCGCCTGCGCAGCGACCATGTATGATTCTTGTCGGAGGTCTTCCTGCGAGTGGTAAGTCCAACCTGGCAAAAATGCTGGCTGAAGATGACAATACTCTCGTGTGGTTGCGCTCGGATGCAATCCGTAAGGAGCTTGCAGAGCAGTCTTCCGATAACGCTGGTGGCGAAAGTGAACATTCTAGAGTAAAAGGCGAAGGCAGCTTCGAAGAAGGGCTGTACTCCCCCGAAATGACTCAGCGCACCTACGACGAGATTCTGAAGCAATGCGTGAAGCATTTGCGCAAGGGAGAGCGCGTTGTTGTCGACGCCACGTTTCGCGATCCCGTTCAGCGGCAGAGATTCATCGGAGCTGCTCGCACTGAGGGTGCGTTGTTTGCCTTCATCATGTGCGAGTGCGACCGTGAGATTATCAAGGGACGAATGCTGGCTCGGAAAAACGACATCTCGGATGCAACTTGGGAGGTGTACGAGTTCATGGAGAAGTCGTGGCACTTCCCTGAGCGTGACACCATGGTCGAATGCAGTGTAGTGAACACGGAGAAGGAGAAAGAGCTGACACTGCGCCGCGCCCAAGTGTTCCTGCGCAAGATCGGACTGCTCTGAGCTGGACAGCGAGCACGCTGATCACACGAAACCACATAAGCCCGGTGACCCTGGTCACGGAAATGAGGAAAGCGTGAGCAATGTTAAAGAGGTGATCAATCCGAACGACTAACGTAATTTTGCAGGCCAGTGTTCGCTGCGAAGGTCCTGTGTCCACTACTTTTTGTACGTCTGCATCATGTTTCGTAGGTTTCAGAACGCAGAGTCATTGGATTCGATGGCAGTTTGTCCTAGTGTAGTGTATCACGATGGTTGCTGGGTGGTGGGCACTGACGTCGGCGGAACCATGGCCGGCGGCATCGGCGGGCGCTGTTTACAGACGCAGGGCTGGTCTGCGCGGCCGCCGCAGTAACAACATGTCTTGGTAAGCACTTTAGAGCCGAAGGTTGTTCGCCAGTGCGGGGGCCACGTCGTTTCAATCGATGCGCGGGCGCACAACCGCACGTAGAACATTGCCAGTCGCGGGTAGAGACCATCAAGCTGCAGCCCACACCGAACAGCGTAGGCGACGTTGGTGAAGAGCGTGAAATCGCACAAATACGGCACCTCCGGGTCCACGAGAAACTGGTGACCATCGAGGTACGACTCCCAGAGACTCAGCTCGCTCTCCACGGATGCCCACTTGGCGTTGACAATCGCTGGGTTGCGCTTCTCCTGCGGGAACCGGCGCAGGTAGACCACGAGGTCGCCCACAACCGACAAAATCTCGTTCGCCTCGTGCAGGCGCGACTGCGCCACAGCGTAGAGCGCGGGAGACGCCGGCATGCATGGTGCCTCCGGGTACTTCTTCTCGAGGTACTCAAGGATGGCTCCGGACTCGTAGACGATGGTGCGGTACTGCGACGTGGTCTGCGTCATGAGGCGGGAGATGCCCATGGCGGCCTCCGCCACCTTGCTCTTGGGCGTGTCCTTGTCGTCCTTGTCGTCCTCTGATGGTGGTGGCAGCTCCGCAGGCTCCACCAGCACGGGGATGCGCATGCGCGGGTTGAGCGCGCGGAAGAACGGCGTCTTCAGCACGCCGCTCGAGAAGCTCACGCACACGCTGCGGTACGGCAGCTTCTTCTCCTCCAGCGCGATCAAAAGGCGCCACGCTGCGGCAAAATACGACGGCAGACACACGTAGCGTAAGCGTCGTCTCAGTGGGAAGGCAGGTGATGATTTATTGCTGGCGCAGACGTACCCTGCGGACTGCCGGAGCCCCAGTACACGACGCGCTCGTGCGGCTGCGGCGCCAGACGCAGCATCTCCTCCTCGCTGGCCACCAGGCGGTTCGGGTCCGAGTCCGCCGCGCCCATCGCGTGCGGCGGCGGCGGCTGCTGCTGCATCTTCTCGAGTTCCTCGCTCGGGCTCAAATGACAATTGGCCGGTAAACACGTCGCGCGCGCAATTCGTGTAGCGCCACACCAAAATTTACAGATCGCTGGCGCCGGCCAATGGGAGCGCACGGAGCCAACACGTCAAACGACGAGTGCACCCGCACGTGCCGATATGCTTATCTGGGGAATCGATACACCTCTCTAAACGGAATTATCAAGTCCCTATATTGCGATACATACTGGATGCAAGTGTAGTAGATTAAAGGAATGACTAAATAGAGGCGAATAGGGCATTCATGATGACACACTGGGGGTATCAGAAGGCAAGAACCGTAACTGGAGGTATTTTTATGCCGTATGCATGCATTGAAGTAACGACTGCTGCTTCACGCGCTTGGGTTTCCTTTGCTGCTGGAGCTTATCTCTTCGGAGCGTCCGTGTGGCCGAGGTGGTGCTGGATGGTGCTGTCTGAACCGGTGCACTCAGACCTGAAGGCCCAACGATCGAAAGAGAGGTAAAACTCAAAGTACTAATACATGTACTTCAACCAGCTTTGGCCCTGCTCATCAGAGCACTGCCTTCAAGACCGAAGCGGGCCTTGCCTCTCACGTGTTGTCTGCATCACGGTGCCACAACATTTTGCCAGCTGGTCAAGTCGGCAACCTATTGCTGAAGTTGGCTTCATGTTCGCCACACCAAATTCGCGTACCGCACACAGATCGGAAACCAAGTTCAACGTCGGCCATTCGAGAAGCGCCCCGGATCCCGTCAAGTCTCGACGCCCGAAGTATGGCCAAGCAGGCCGCCGAGCAGCCAAGCTGCCCCGACGGCGACGACTGGCTCGTGGTGGGGCGCGAGGTCAGCAGCCGCGGCCCAGCAGCAGGCGACAGCCCCCGCCCGACGAAGGCCAGCGACGAAGCCAGCGGTCTTGAAGCGTCACAGCCGCAGAATCAGGTTACAGAGAAGGAATCACTTGGGAATCAGAGCGAGCTGGGCAGGAGTCTCTTTCAGGTACCAGATGCAGTCAGGATAGCTACTGCCAATGAGCTCTCTGTTTGTTGGTTGACTGTGTAGCTGTTTGTGTGTGTATCCATCTATTTATCTACCCGCCAATGCCCGAAGCTCTTGGTGTGGCACAACGGACTCGAAGCACCCGTGGAGCTCGTGGGCGAAAATCAGAGACCGCTCGTGGTAGCTGCGAGCTCCAGCAGCTCCACTGTAGATCTGCAGAGGATGCTGCAGGAGCTGGTGCTCGTGCACCCGCAGTTGCAGGCTGTGTTTCCCGAGGTGGAGAGAGATAATGTCAGTGACGTGATTCGAGTGTGCCAACGCTCGGATGAGAAGGAGGCGTGGGTGCCGCTGGCAGTTCTTGCTGGTGCTGAGGGGATGGAGAGCTCTGAGGACCCTACAGGGGCCAAGTTGCAGCTTACGGCGCAGATTGACCTGTCCAGTGAAAAGCAGTGGCGCCAGTTGCTGGTGGAGAGCAAGTTTGAAGCTGCTACCTGTAGCGATGAGCTAATCGCGTGGCGGCACGGCAAGTTCTTTAGCGACGTTCAGGCCAATGCGTGGCGTTTCGAGCTGCAGATCGGACAGTTAGTCGACGCTCTGGACACGGACAAGCGCTGGTACGAGTCTCGCATCGTGGATATGGACGCCGTCTATGTTAAAGTGCACTATCGCGGCTGGACGTCCAAATGGGACGAGTGGATGCGCCGGACCTCGGCTCGACTAGCGCCGCTGCATACGAACGTGCCAAATTGGCGAGCTTTCCAAGTTGGTGACAGTATCATGGTGGGAAAGGATGTCCCTGGGAAAAGATACCCGGAGTGGCGGAATGCGCAGGTGACGGCGTGCGATGACGAAGACGGCTCGCTTCAGATCGAAGTGGACGTTGATGGAAAGAAGAAATGGCTGGATGCTCAGGACGAGCTCCTTTGTCCGCCGGGAACCCATAAAGCAGTCAATGTGGGCGCAAGTGCAGGGACGGCAGTTCTGGCTACACCGCCATCTCTGCTGATTAACTACTTCGAACGACCTGGCGATTCAGCTTCTTCAGTTCCTCGTAATGACCAGCCTGCACAGGAGGTGGAGTCTATCCGCGACGCGACGCGCGCTATGCAATTAGCCGATAGTGATGGAGACGGTGATGAGTGGTGTGTCGTTGATGACGGGCAAGACGAGGATATTGCTGAGGTAGACAGCACCAACGACCCCAGCAACCAAACAGAGGAAGCAGTTGTTGAAGATGAAGCAACTATTTCTGATGGAAGCACTTCCAGCGATGCGGATTCTGGCTGCAACGCGACAAGTTACGATCCGCGTGTTCCTTCTGCGAACACTGTTGCGGCTCCTACTCTCAATCAATTGCTTCCAACAACGACAGATGTAGTGCAAACATCTCAAGTCGAAGCAGCCATCAGTGAAGAAGATGCTTGGCGCTACGAACTTCAGATTGATCAGCTAATTGACGCACGGGATACGGACAATGTTTGGTACGTCTTTACTCGGTCGTGTGTCTGTTTTAAATGGCTAGTGATCTAACTGTTTCGATGGCCAGGTACGAATCGCGCGTGGTCGGTTTGAGCTCAACGCTGGTTAAACTGCACTATCGTGGCTGGACATCCAAGTGGGATGAGTGGATCGAACGCACTTCAACTCGTATCTCACCGTTGCATACGAAAGTGCGGAATTGGCGCGATTTCAAGGTAGGCAACTCTGTGATGGTGGGTCGGCAAGTCGCCACGAAGAAGTATCCCGAGTGGCGCAACGCTGTCGTCGCGGCCTGTGAAGCGTGTGAGGTGGACGGCCGACTACGCATTGAGGTGGATGTTGATGGAAGCAAAATATGGATGGACGCTCAGGATGAGATGCTGTGTCCTCCAGGAACGCACAAGGCTGTGAATTCGTCCATGCTGAAGCACATGGCGCCACTGTTTTAGGCTAGGAAGATATTGACCCCAGGAAGAGGGGAGGCAATTGCGTGTTTTGACGTGTAATGGATGGATGACGCTCAGAATTTTCGCTTTTCGAGCCATGTTCTTGGCGGAGTCTTGTTGCTTCCACGTAAGAATATCAACGCAATTCATTTTTTGATCACGCAGCTAGACAGAACTACAGGTTGTAGTACAACGGCCCGGTCGACGGGAATTCGATGACCAAACCCGAGCAAGGATTTCTCGTTCAGTGTTGGTTAGGTGCAACAATCCGCGCAAAGAGATACAATACGATACCGTTTTACGTAACAAGCCAATTCTTCGTTTTACTGCATCCATTTATTATACCGTAGACAAGTTCAGACGAGCAATGCCAGACTTCTGCAGTAGATGCAATTGGACGTCGACTTCAACATAGCCCATACAAACTTCGGTACTCAACGTAATCACTCCGTCGATTGGGTAGCTAGGCTTCCCCGAACGAAGTCCGAATGCGAAGGAGCAGCAGCGACCCAACCATTGTGCGTGCGCCATCTTTATCAGCACCGATGCGTCATGCTACACTATATGCATGCAACTAGCTGCTACCGTACCGTAGCAAGGCACATGCGTCCTGCGAGCAAGGAGCTGCGCGTTTGATGCCGTTGGATAGGCCCCTGCCAGCCGAGCGACAGAGGAGAACTTGGCCAATGCGCACATTTTCGGTGCCCGTCAACACCGGGACCACCAGTTGCTGCAGCTTTGACACATTCCGCCAGTTGTTGTAGGGCCAACCTCAGATTCTAGAGAGAAGGAGATGTATAGACTGACTGCCAACTGTCGGCGTAGACGAACAAACACCACAAGTGCCTGCACATGCATTACGCCCACCCTGTGGCCACATGACCCGTCGGCTTCGACGACGCCAATCAACCGCCATCACGTGGGCTCCGGATCTTGACAGCACAGTTGCCGTCCTCGCACACCGCGGGCCGATCTCAGCAGAGTCTAGACCCCGTCCAAATACCAATTAATCGTCTCTCTCCTCATTCTCGAATTCGCTTGGTCGAGCCCAAACAGCCCTCTCTCCACCACAAGCAAGTATGTTCAGTTCGTCATGCTTTTGACCGAGGACTGCACAGGCTGCCCACTGGTTCGCGTGAGGAATGATGACGAACGGCTTGGTCCGGTCCGGATGACGTAGCAATGGGGTCGACACGATCTTCCGCTTCAGGATCTCGAACGCTTCCTTCGCCCTCGACAAGTCCCTACCGGATCGCACTTGGTCGTCGCTCAGCTCGTACAGGACTGCAGCTACCACCGGGAAATCCTCTATGAACTTGTGGTAGTAGTTCAGACTGCCGAGGAAGGACTGGACCCCCTTCAGAGTAGACGGGAATGGTAGATCCAGTACGCCCTTAGCGATCTTCGGCGTCGCCCTGAGTCCTTCTGCACTGATCTCATGAGAGAGATACGGGATCGAGCGCTTACCGAATTCACTCTTCGGTAGACTGACAGAGATGTTCCAATACCGCAACCGAAACAGTAGCGCATCCAGATCGATGCGAACTTGATCCCACGTAGGCGCCCCATGCGCGATGTCGTCAATGAACGAGCTCCGTCCTAGGACAGGGCCCATCTGCATCGGCGCCGGGATGTTACGTTGGAACACAGTCATCTGGTCTGTCAGCGCGGGTAGACGTCGGCCAGACAGCATTTCGTCGTCCGATCCGGTGTCGCTCCCTCCGACGTTGTCCTCTTGCGGCTTCAAACCCAGATAATCCAGTACGTCCTGATCCATCTGAGCTTCCTTACCATGTGGTAGTCGAACAAAGCCCCACAGACAGTTGTTGAGCATCTGCTGGTACACCAGCGGAGCATTCTTCAGACCAAATGGCATCCGTCGCCACTGGTAGTGACCGAATGGCGACACGAACGCCGAGATGAGCTTGGCTCGCTCCGTCATCCTGATCGCCCAGAAGCCGCTGGCCATGTCCAGACTCATAAACCACATCGCGCTCTCGAACCCGATTAGCAGGTCGTCAATGAGCGGGAGAGGATAGTTGGACAACTGGATGAACCCGTTCACGATCCGGTAACCAATGCACATCCG